CCGCCAATTGATCAAGCACCGGTGTGTCAAATAACGATCCATGATAGCCGACGTCTCTGTAGCCATGATCGTCTGACAGGATTACAATAACGTTGGGTTTAGTTTTCTTATATTTAGCCTGGATGAGGTGGAGAGCAAAATATAAAATTAGAAAAATAAGTACTCCTCGTGCTGCCATCTTCACAGGTCGAAGTCTCTATCGATAGTGATATACAAGTGAAATGTGTCAGCTTTTTAACAAACAAAACACAATAACCAAATTAAAAAGTCGTACAATACAATCCGGTTAAGCCTACGCCCCTTCAAAGTTTCACGCCAATCAGGAAAGTAAGCACAACTATTTTGTTTCAGTTTTTGTCCGCAGAGGGACGGCCTTATGTGCGGAAGGATATTCAGATAAAGTCGATTCGGATCCACGATGACCAATCGTGATTGCTACGAATTACACCGCAGTAATTTTCCAAATAGGCCTATTCACACCTTTGTTAGGTCTTTTAAATAGCACAATATCCACTGCATTAAAATATTTTACCTAGTAATTAATTTGTAAACTGCCAGAGGATATTCTGGTAAATTAAACTTTATTCATGAGTTACGTATTTAGGTTTACACTGAAGTAACTTACAAATGTCACAAACTTTATATTTAGCCAGCCTTATGATAGTTAGTTGTTTAGGTATCGTCATCATGTATTGTCATCAATAAACAGTAGACATAGCTTATCAAATACAGTATAAATAATAATTCCATTGTCGTTTTACTCCCCAAGCATTGTCTCACGTCATATGTTTGTATGGTATGCTTGTCTTGTCCGGTATATTATGTTAAAATTGTTTTCCTTGTTTGTTTATTCAGCTTTAAGCACTAGGACCAGGGATATGCCAAACAGTAAACTAAATCACTCTTACTCTTCAAAAGTGGCAATGCCATCACAGGAAGGCAGGGGCTGTATGGACCAGTACATCTCGAAAGATGTACTGGGTTCTTTAAAGTACACAAGATTGTGTACACTGGGCCTACGGCTTATAGTCCTTATCAGAGAAGACTTTTTCCACCTCCAGAGAACCATAGGCGAGCTTTCCATTCGAACCAGCGCCGATATCATTCATGGCTGTAAGTTGCGGCGCAACTTAACAATAATAATATAAATGCTCTTGTTTATCTAAGATGTGTATATGATTTAAAAAAATATGTAGGTTAGGATTTTCAGCCAGTCCTAAACGTAGGCCACAATATAATTATTATTATTATTAGATAATAAATAAATAAATCGTTATATTATTTCACAATGTAGCATTAAAAAATAGACATTTTAGATAACTTTTTCTTTGCTGTCGTCTAATAGGCTTAAAAAAAACAATATAAAGACGGTTTATCATTTTTTTTTATTGTCCAATCGATGGTATTGAGGCCTTTATCAAAATATTTTTATGGGGCCCCACGTACGGGCAATTACACTTAGCAGGAGGACCCCTTCACAGAGGTATTTTGTTTCTTTAAGATCATCACGTGCAATAAACTTACTATCATTTTGATGTCGGTTAATTTTTTGATAGAGGATGTGAATTCTCATAGAATGCTAGGTATTTTGAAGAGGCCCCATGGTTCCTCTGGTCTCTGGTCCCTTTTAACTGGGGACTGGAGCTTTTTTCCCCTGAGAGCACACTTGGTCAAGACTCTACATTACAGTGTTGGGCAGAATAAGAGGACCTCGGAGCCCCTTTTCCCCCACCCCCTCCCCCTCACGAAAGGTCACGGGCGTTGCGCCACTGGCTGGTTCCCATTGTAATTCATGATATCACGTGCAATCCTTGCAATTATAGTTATATATTATAATCTTTTGACTCTCTTTGCAATAGATTTATTTAGAAATAATTAGATTTTCATTGTCCAGCTACCTTAATGTTATTCCACATGGTTTTAATATCCTCAAGTTTGCCCTTTCTCATTATTGTGCATCTCCTCTTTTGATAAACAGAAGATCAGTAATCATCGCCTCCGCGCTTAACCCCACAGCCGAAGTCTACCTTTATTATCAGCGCAAAGTGATGCTAAATCTTAAATAAGTGTGCAATCGTACTGCAATTTCTGTGAAGAAGTTTCTATAAAAAAACTCGTCAACCAAGATATATCTCGGGATGAAACACAGGTCAGGCTAAAGTAAGGTAAGAATGCACTCTTCTGAGAGGTGTTTTAAATGCCAGAAACTTTCCATAGATACATTTTATATGAGGTAATTTTACTACTTTTGCACGAATAAGGCCTAGACAGATATAAGCATTCAAAACCTATGTGTATTTTGGGCCTACTTGACTATTCTGGAT